TGCGTGGATATACATTAGGATTCATGCGTGGTAGGCGCCAAAAGATAGCAAGGCAGGCGCCTTCTTAACTGTGGGAAAGAAGCGCCAGCGTCTGGAGAGTCCTGTGGAGGCGCCGTGTGAGCGTCCTCACGAACTTTTTAACTAAAATATCGCTTGTTTTCAGTTTGGCTATAGATAATGCCATTTCTTGATAAAATCAACAAGAACCGTTTTCTTGGAAATGTAAATCTTTCGTAGCATAAAATCATAATTTTGACATAATAATAAATATGTTAATAATTATCAGTTAATAATTTCGATTTATTCTCATAAGATTTTAAATAAAACTTCAGATAAAAATTTTTTTTTTATTATAATTAGAGTTTGTAAGATTTTTGAAGTACCTTGTCTGATTGAGTATTTTATTCCAATACAAATGTCATGAAATTTAATGTATCTGTAACTGAAAAGTATATTTGTATACATGTACATGACATTTAGTATACTTTTTATAAAATTTCACCAAGTTCAGTACATTTTTCATTAAATTTTATGTAGATATGCATGAAATTTAATGTAAATAAACGTTAAATTTAAATTACTTATAACTTTATTTTTATCGACAACATTAATTATTTTTAATGTATCTGCTCGAAATTTGCTTCCATTACATGTAAGGGAAGCGAATTTCTGTTTTTTTAACAGTATAGAATGATACATGCATATTTTTTTCCTGAAAAAAATCTAATATAAAATACCGATTTATTAAATATGATTTATTACATAGATATATTAAACAAATTTATTGATTATGTCACCGTAAGGTAAAATTTAATTCGTGATTAAATGTATCATAATCTAAATTCTTTAATCTAAAAAAAATCTTTTAATTACGATTTTAATATAGATTGATCCAGAGATCTCTACGAAATATTTGTTATTTAAATTTGCGTAAAATTATTTTATGATGCATCTCTTTTGGAATTGACAACCGAATAATCAGGTATTCAAAATAAGCAATATCGATGCACTTTGATTGCTCGCTAAACTGAGGCCATGAAAAGAGATCTCAGCATAATGCGGTGTCCAGTTGCACGACCCGTCCGTGTTGCCGCATAAATGGGCCCTTTGTGCTGTCGTCTCGCATCTAAACAGCCGCATGCGACGTCGGATGCCCTATCCGTGTATAGTTTATAGGAAAATCTCGCACGGTGGCGTGTATTGACCAAGCACGTGGGGGGTCCTTTGCCGCCCATGGTGAGACGTCCGCATTTTCGAAATCTGCTCTTTTTCTTGTTATTATCGATAACTGCTACGCAACGTGTGTGAAATTGGCACCTCATCTTTTGGCACCACACAAGTGTTGATACAAGTTCCATTGGCACCCGCAATAGTTCTTTCCCGATAGGTTTTATAAATAGTTTCGTTGATTTAGCTAAAAAAAAATAACCCTTAAAAATTTGAGGTGCTAACTTGCCGTGGCATCGCAACATTCAAAAAAATCAATTCAAGCCATGAAATCTTATAGTTTTAAGAAATTTTACGATAATTGTGTTGTCGACACCATCGAAGGTGTCATCAATACACTCATCAGAAATTTCTCTTTTTATGGGCTTTTGGTATAGATAGTAACATACTATAATTATTATAACTTCATAATATCGCTTTGCCAGACATTTTAATAATATTGATTAATAACACGTGTAATTATTATATATTACATGGAACAATAGTTTTACTGAAATTTTAAAAATTTAGTATTTCTGAAAATAATTTTTTAGACTATCAAAACAATTATGTAGGACGCTTAAGATAATTTGCTAGAATGCAAAATTTTTTGCGATATTGCCCATTATAATCTCATCATATTTGAGCATCCTACTTTATTACTTTGATAGTCCAACAAAATTATTTTCAGATCTGTATCTATCTATAGCTACATTTTTAGGTACTTCAGAAAAATAGTTCTTTTACATAATTTTTTTTTTGTTGGAAGATAAAAATTATAAAAATAATCCTCTAAAAATAATCACACACATAGCGAGTATTATTGCATATAAATGCAATAATTTATAACAAATTATTCGAATTTACATTAATAATAAATTGTTTACACATTTTATGTATAAGTTTTATACATAAAATGAGCAAAGTCCGTGAATTAGATGTTAATGTGTGTTTAACTTTAGCTGAAGCATAAAACTAAACGAATAAAAAAATATACTTTGATTAATAGTGTCACATGTAAAAGAAATACATTTTAACAGTTATATAAACAATGAAAATTTGGAAAACTTATATACCATTTAACGTTGTCTGCATATATCGAGCTTGCAGACTTGCAGAGCTGCAGATGAGGATACTCTCTATTATGCTTGAAGAGGTCAACTCGACTGTGTATTTCTGCGCTCGTACAAGACTTTTGTCGTTTTTCCGTGAGTGGTCCAGACAATTGCGTGTATCTGGATGTCTAGACGGCGCGCGGGTTGTTTCACGTTTTCTGTTAAATAAAACAGAAATCACATTAATTTGAGTCTTTTCCGTTGCTTAGTGCCGACAATCGCCGACGGAGAGTATCCACGGAGAATGAAGTCTTCTATTTTTTTTAATATTTACCTTATTTTTAATTATTTACCGTTTTGAGATATAATTCGACAATATTTTTTATTTCATCATTAACTATAAAGTCGTCTTTTAGCTTAATTTAGTTCCAATTACAGCAAATGCTACGTTAACTAATGTCCTTGATTATATTGTAAATATAATACTTTTAGAAATTTTACAATAAGCAGCAAGGGCTTAGAAAAATTAAAACATTAAATATCTTTATATTTATATTATAATTTACTTATTTAATTAGATTTATTATATAAACTTTTCCGTTTGTGTGATGAGATTGATGTATATTATTGCATTTATTCTATCATTTAATTTTTATTAATTTGCAATGAGTTCTATAACGATTCAATGACATGATGGTCGACAAAAAATACCAATTAATTACATTGCGCGCTGCTTCCACGAAGAAACGATGATGATTAATCGAGGAAGAACGAGAAGGAACGTATTGCGCAAATGATCGTTTAATCGTTGCTTTTAGAAACACGACTCCCAACATGTTTCGATTGGTGGGATTCATCTCGTATAGGCGGACCTTCCGTACTCTCCTCCGCCTTACGTTACCAATGACTATGGCTGTCGTGACGCAAAAAGATATTTTGCTGTCTTCTCAATTATTCAGACACTTCCGATATCAATGATTATTACATGTTGCAGTCGTTGCTTTCATTTCGGTTGTGCTTTTTTTAAAGTAATTTCTGTCAAGAAAAATTACGGATTGAAAGTTTATTGATGGGCCAATTAAAGTGATTTACCTGTTTAAATTACAGAGTTATAAAAAAATTTGTGTGACGAAGTTTTGTGTTTATCAAATCCCAAGGAAGTCTAAGAAAGTTGATGTTATTTCTTCGTCATCATCATTTTCATTTCGACGTCAAAATGATGATATAACAAATAACGTTAACTTGTTATCTGAGTAAAAAATGCATACGTTGATACGTTCCCGAAATGCTTTAAATGTATCAAAGGTAAAAATGGATATTTTTAATGTTAATTATTATTTTTGGTTTAATTATTTATTATAATTAATAATTTTTATTATAATTTATATTTTTTATTGTAATTGTTTATTATTGTAAGATATAACTAACAGTCCAGAGTTGGAAATATATGTGACCAATGATTTTATAAACTTTGTTAACACAATTTTTTTGTCACCCTGTATAACTAGTTTAGAATATATTACATATTTTGCGATTTTTTTATGAAACTGAAATCTTATATTTTGCAAAAAATTATAAAAAATTTTTGAATTAATTTAGTTATTTAAATTTAGCAAATAAAACGCAATGTAATTAGGCTCCAACGAATAAAATTCAAACAATCAATATATAAAAAGGCAAAGAAGCCACACTTGATGTTTGTGTGTGTTATACAATATTTATATAGTTATCGTAAAACATACACACAAACGTTTCGATCTTTTTACATCAAATTCTCTTCAGTGTGATAAAACTTAACGCAACTTTTACATTTCAAATTCTTAAGATCGACCTCATATCGAGATTCCTACGCTTCACTTAGTTATTTAAAATTTTAGTAATTAATACGAAATCATATTGCAACAATTGCAATCACTTGGATTGTCATGCGCGAGCATATGACATTTTCTAATATAAATTAGTTCGTAAAAACTTCAATACACGGAGTTACTATTAAAATTATGTGCGACTGTAGTAGTAAGCATCTACAGTCGTACACTGATGCATCCTCACACTCACATCAGTGTATCGCCATGACGTTCCTGTGCGACGGGACCAACACTTGACTCCCTTGCAAGACCAAGTCACATTATACGTCTGCCCTCCGACCCGACCACTCAACCGTTACCATCCCCCGAAATAGGGATAGTGCATCGATAAACGGCTGTTCGCTATTCTCGCAAATTTTATAGATATTTATATGTATCCGTTGGTTATAGTGATATGTCTTATGGTGCAATATTAAATTTCGATAGTTGATAACATTGTGAATAAACTATCAAGATTTTCACACGCAAATTTGAAAGTTTCTTTACGATCTCGTAATCACATTTGACAGTTTACATTGTGAACACACTATCGATACTTCTGCGTGAATTTAAAAATCTTGACAAATGTATGAATTAATAAAGTTTGACAATTAAACTAACTAATAAAATCTCTCAGAGGGAAAGACTAATTTGTTGAACGTTTATTGGACTAATATTTAAAAAATTACTGTTAATATACAATTAAATCATGAATTTTTAAAACGAGCTTCCAAGCTCTGCTGAAAGCAGAACTTTGGTTACTGAGTTATTGTTAAGAATTAAAAAGATGAGACTTGCTTAAAGAAGAATGCAATGCGTAAACATTTTTTTTTCTGATGAAATGATGTTCGACGCATAACGAGTGAATTGAAAATAGAAAAATGCTTTAGAAATGTTGTCCTCTTCGGTGTCGACTCCATTCAGTGTTCGTGATATTCTCAGCGAAGATCAACAACTCGGCGTCATGGATTGTTACGCGCATCATCAAAATCAAGTTCAACAACATGTGCATCAAGAATATTATTCATACAACGTTGTGTCTGAAAACAATTGGGAAATAGATAAATTTAAGGATCAACCGATGCCCAGTTATCAACATTATTCGGATCTTAATCACGTTCATCAATTGAGTCAGGTGGTACCGCCATACCAAGAGACTTCTATCACTGAAGACGGTAAGTATTATTTTGTTATTTTTGTTATAAGAATTTAAAGATATATTATTTTTTATGATATAATTGTTTTACAATAATTTTATTACATGGAATTATTAAAGTATGTTTGTATCAAGATATATATTCTTCTTTCTACCCTATAGTATTTATTATTAAACAAAAATTGTGATAAATTATTAAAAAAGTTATAATTAATAGCGTAATAATTTTTTATATTGTGGTTTCCTTAAATTATTGCAGCAAATATTTGCATATTTTTCTAATGTTACACAGTACTAATTTTCAAGAAATATATATGTTAAAGAATAAATTATAATAAAAGTAAAACTAATTTTGTTTAATCGAAAATCATATTATCAAACTTATATTGTTATTACCAATTCAAGAATCATTTTTGAGATACGCTTTGCTAGAATTTTCGTTTATTTTAAAGTTTCGAATTTTAGCTTTAGCAAGAAAAAATATTAATTATAAATTATATGTAAATTCTCTAATAATAATAATGAAATTATTTTTAGGTAACATTGTTACGTCCAGCAAGACTGAATTGCGCAAAAGCCAATCTGGTAAAAGAACGAAACGAAAGCCAAGAGTATTGTTTTCGCAAGTAAGTTTGATTCTTTTTGATAACTATTAAAGTCTATTCGAATAGATAATAATTTAATAAGATAATTTTATAAAAATAGCTTTATATACATACAAACTTAATTCCAAAACTTTTTATTTTTCTAAAAATTATAAATATTAAAATAAATATTAAAATGTATAAAGTTCTAAGTCATAAATAACTTTATAATATACTTCACAGACACAGGTTTATGAATTGGAGCAGCGATTCAAACAGCAGAGATATCTGAGCGCACCTGAGAGAGAATTGTTGGCTCAGTCACTGAAGCTAACCAGCACGCAAGTAAAAATCTGGTTTCAGAATCGACGATATAAGAACAAACGCGCCCGAATCGAGGATGCTGAGAAGTTGCAGGCACAGAATATGAAGAATCAGCCCTTGAAGAAGATCGCCGTACCGATCCTCATCAAGGATGGTAAACCCAATGTACAAGAATCCTACAACGCACCTTATTGGCCAAATATCCGATCGGATTTAAACGCTCCGATACAGACAGATTTTCGGACAAATGAGATTCGTCTTAGTCCCGACTTCAGGTCCAATTCGAACGAGATGAGGATTGATTCCAATATCAGTACGGAGTACAAACCAGAAGTAAATTCAGACATGCCCGGAAGATCAAGTCTGAATGACATGGCAGACAAGCAGCACGTTCCAGAATATAGGAGCAATTTCGTGACGGAAGCTACGCCGAATGTACACGATTGCAATCGATTAATTAAGTCGGAATTTAAGACATGCTCTAACACCAACGAAGCCATGTCTTATCCAGACTTGAAAACTGTTCAGTCAGACAACAAACAGCTTATGACTGATAGGCGGATGTCTATGGATGTCTCTAATGGCGAATATGTGTTTTCGAATTATCTTGCTCCTACCAATTACCAAATGCAATACGTGAATTATATGGAACAGGTACCTATGGATCAAAATCTTCAACGACTGTGGTAGGTGATGCGAAAATTATGAGTAATTAAAATCGCATTGCAGTTTCTACTCTTGAATCTATGGTGGTTCTGTTGATAAGAATAACTTAGATTTAGCAGTTAATTAAATCGTTACTTCAATTCTTTCATAGCTTATTAATTATGCTCTATGTGAAAGAATTTTACATTTATCAATAAGTATTTAATTGTTATTATCAATTTAATTATTTTCAATTATTGATTAACTTAGATATGATAATTGGAAAAGATAATTCAACCTTCGAAAATGGGTTACATTCTTTTTTTAATATTATGTATATGATATTTTTATGCATGTAACATAATAAAAAAAGATTAGATTTATCTTTTACATGTTTTTATCTTAAAACATTAAAAATCATACATACGTTAATTCTCAAACGTTATATTACAACATATTTAAGTATGGTATACCCAATATAATTTGATTGCTTATAACTTTTATAAAAATGAATACATTGCAATATTTTTTTTTAATTGAAATGCTAGACATTAAGGCATATAACGATACCAAGCAAATATATATATTTTTTTATTAAAATAAAAAAATTGTAAGTAATGGCAAAGACATTAAAAGTGTCGAATATTTGAAAAAAGTCGGGTATGCCATACTGAAAAGATGTTTAAAGAATTGATAGTTCGATGTTAATCAAATCTCGCTAAATCTTTACAAAGGAAAATCAACGTTGACAAGAAAAAAGAAATAATACACCAAAGATGTATTCTTTAATTATTATTATACATATACGTAAACAATTAACGCTAAGTTAGAAATACACTAGAGAATAAGCTTATGATATTGGCAGCTGTTTTTTTAGTTGACTAAGATTTTCCCTTCGAAATAGTAACGCGCCGTACAAGAGGGCGGAAATTGCTTCAAGTGGCCTTTGCGGAAACATCGAGCACTTTTCCGCGTATGTCATGTGCCTCGGAAAGTTTTTTTTTTCACTGACTTTCAAGTGCAGACGCTATAGTTGTGCAATAAATTAATTTTCGTTCAGATGGACCTTTGCTGAATAGAAACAGAATTGTGTATATTGTCAATAAGTAAAGAGAAATGTTCAGTTTTCTATTAAACGTGTAATACAAATCTGAAAGTGTTATATTTTTCCTGTATATATTATACTCGTACTTCGAGAATTACTTTAATTTGACTTTTCAATAAAATTCTACATTTAATATGATATAACTTTATGGTAGAATAATTAATTTGACTTCTTTATAATTATTTATAAAAATGTCATGGTAGAATAAGGTTTAAAATCACGTATTTAGTAATAGATTAAATTTTTATCTTATTTTAAAATAGATGTGAATATAATCTTTACATTAAGCAAATACTATTTTACAGTTAAAAAATAACATTTATCGTAAAATGAATAAAATAAGCATGAAATTTTAATGAAATGTGCATAAGTATGTCGAGAGAAAATAATAAATTTAAAGAATTCAACTTTTATATTAAATTTCGGGTCAGGCATTGAATCAGCTACAGTCTCGACTTTGCAATTGCGTTTATTATTTTCTATTATCTTATTTTATCTACTGCTATATATTAAATATCATTATAACTTAATAAAATTATTATTATTATTAATAATACATGTAAGAAATTGTACGCATATCATGTATGCTTATGACGTATTTGCTACTAGTGTATTTATTACGCATACTGCATGCATTTACATGAATGCCCGCATGTATTTATGATCGATTTCTATCGAATTAAATTTAATCCAGATGCCTCTTGTGAGTTCGCGGTTCAATACAGAAATATGGCGAAATGGTATTTATAAATAGGTGAGTTCTGACAGCTTGAGCGAAGCCATGGGCGCCTTTTGGGTTATCGCGCGAACACGACGGGTCATCTGGCAGTCAAGTGCTGCCCACATAGACGATTTACATCAGTGTAATCGCATTCATGGTGCTACTGGTGCCATAAAGGGCCATGGGAACAAGCTGATAAGAATGTCACTGGTAATTTTATAAGACTCACGGCCATATTGTATCTATCTAAACGCAACCTTTCCAGATATCCACCTGACTGCACCTGCGATAGATTGAACCTAATGAGATTATTTAATCCGTAAATTTCTCTTATCTATACATGTCTACGTGAGAAAAAAATGATATAATGTGAAAGAAATAATGATTTCGATGAAATTTACATTGGAAAACACGAAAGTTAAAACAAGCATTCTTAATAGACGGTATAATATTCTTGTTAATTTCTATTATGTATTTAGGATTAGATAGTTGTTAATTTTTAGAGATTAAATGAATTAATCCTTTTGAGCATCAAATGCGTCTCTCGCGTTTCTCATAATATCGATGCATCAATGCATCACTCCACATGTATATCTATGTCCTATATGAGCACAGTTCCATTACGATATCATATATTCAGATAATCAATCACGAAACGATCAACATAGAAATTCGATCCTATTTGCTTGTAAGCTAAAGGGAGACCGCGACAAACGTTTGCGCGAGATCCCAAGAGAGAAAGCACGCGACGTTGCGTACATAGATGAGCATATGCATAAAAGGACCAATGTCCACAAATCAGAAGATTTTAGTTATAAATGGAGAACTTTTTCCCATACAGATCATTAATCATCCTTTGATCAAAAAAATTTTAAGGATTACGAAATAGAAAAATCTACTTGTTGCACTTTGCAATGATAAAATTGATCATAGAATGAAGACAGATGAAGTATTGACATAAAAATCGAATTTTGTATTAAAATCAATTGCGTTGCTTTATCTTGAATATTGCTAATTTATTAATTGCAACAGATTAAGGGATGATACATTTATCCAAAAATCTGATATTCCATATTACTTTTTTCATAATTTTGAGGTATTTTTTAATTATGTAAATACTAAAAAAGTTTTATTAAAGTCACTCAAAATATAATCAAAAAAATTAGTTTTCTTTTAAGGTGTTTATTTTGTATTTTAATAATAATATTTCTTATGTAAATATACCTTAAGATAATAATTTATAAATTTGTAGCATATTGAAATAAATAATGTTTTTTTCACTGAAGAATGATATATAATTTTTATGAAATTTATCTAAATTTACAATTGTAAGCAATTTGTTTGAAAAAATAATACGCGTTTATTATCGTAGAGAATTCTGTTTTACCGTGGGTGAAACTGTAACCGTTTGTCGTTTGTATCAAAGCGCTGTGAGATCAAGGGATCGCCTGAAATCACCTCTTTCAGAAGCTCAAGCCTAAATGTCTGATGTACCAGCGTATGAAACAGTAATTTTCTTTATAGTTGACATCTTTTATTATTGACATGTCCTGCACTCTACATTTTACTGTAGAAAATATTTCCAAAATGTTAAAATATATATATATAAAATTTTGTATATAAAAAAATGTTAAAATATATATTGTATATATTTATTGTATACACATCTTAATTTCCCTCAAGGAACATTATATATTATACGTTTTAATCAATAAAATATTGACGGGATTCTCATATGATTGTCATTTACTACAGTTTTATTATTTACTATTTTAAAAGTAGTCTTCTTTTTTTTTTAATTTATTAACTCTATCGTTTATATTTGTGCAATTGAATTACATGTTATGCATATAATGTATGATATCAAGCTTAAACTAATATAAGCAATGCTTTTTTTATTTTCAGAGTACAGAGAATGTCACTGGTGAAGGTACTAGCAGTAAGCTGTCCTCGTAGTTCGTAAGTACAAGAAATCTATGAAATATTTGAAAGAATTTCTTGGAATCGTGGTGGCTGCATGAAACACCGCTGATTGGCCGCTCGTACGCCAATTTTCCTCGACGGCGCTTCGCCACGAAAAATCGCTAAATTGCTTCTTTGAAATGCCGGAAAAGCGGAGGAAACGGTTTCCTCCGTAGTTCGCTCGACAAGTTCTTCTTGGTAGACTTCAAGCGTCGTTACTCACTTGATGATCCGCGCGATGTACTCGGGCTGATTTTCTCCCACTTTTACAAATTCACAAAGTAGAGCAGATATCGGTGATCGAAGGAAAAAAAATTTTCGCACATGCGAGACTAAATACGAATGTATGCTAAGTAAAAAAGTTAATAAAATAATTAAATAATTAATTTAAATATATATTGTAAGGTAAATCCATACAATCAATTAATGTTTATTCGAGCAAATATTGAGTGTGAAAATAATTTATTCAAATAAATATATGAAATACGCAAACGTTTCGATTCTGATTTGGATCCTTATCAATGCTCCAAAATTATTGATAATATACAGTCATCCAAGAGTAGTAATGTAACAAGATGTCATCATATTATACTTCCTGGAATAATGATAACGTTGCGATGATCATTATACCAGGATGTTTATTTGAATAAATTACTTTCACCTAATATTTGCTCGAATAGGTATTAATTGATTGTATGGGTTTATCTCAACCGAGCTACTTAATCTATTAATTATATTGTTATATATTGTAAGGTAATTAATATAATTAAAATAATTTTATCCTATTTTTCTGATTTAATAAGAAGGAAGAATTTCGGTTTATTATATTTTTTATTATTTTTTTTTAAAAGCATTTTCACGTTTTAAAAAAATGTTATTGTTAAAATTGCAGGAATCGAAACGTGAAGTTTAAAAAATCCCTTTTGAAACTATAATACATAAATCTTTAAATAATTTTATAATTATAAGCGTTTTAGTTTTTTAATAACAGAAAATTATTAAGTTGTTTTGTTTATTCATTGATATTAGGTGACCACTTGGCACGAACAAAAATATATAATTTATCTATAAATATAAAGCAATATGAGGAATCTAAATTCATAAAATTTGAAATTCACATTTAACTCATAAATATAGTCACGACTTATAAATCATATTGATTTCTGACATCGTGTTTCGAATGTTTTCAACGAAATGGAGAGGTGTCCCCTTTAACGTCTTCAATAGTCCATGTGACACTCTGGCTCCTAGGTTTCC